TTGATGCTATTATAGGTGGGATTGTTTTCTTAACTTCTCTTTCACATAATTTATTGTATAGAAATGCTACTGATTTTTGTCTGATTTTCTGCCCTTGAACTTTACTGAATTTATTAGTTTTAGCAATTTTTTAGTCGAGTATCTGAGTTTTCTATCTGTTAAAATCATGTTGTCTGAAAAAAGAAAATTTATTTTTTCCTTTTAAATTTTGATGCCTTTCTATGTATTTTTCTTGCCTGACTCCTCTAGGTACAACTTTCATTACAGTCAAGTGCTATATACTACTGTTTCAGTTAACCATGTGCATGTACCATACCTATTACAATGGTCCCTCTATGGCAAGATGACATCTCTTAGAATATATATATATATATATATATATATATTGTGGTTGAACAATGTATGACTAGTTTTGTTGCAAAAAAGTCTTGTCTATTGCTAATCTTAGAGGAAAAGCTTGTAGCTTTTCACCATTGACCTCTGATCTTGTGTATGTTGAGGTATGTTTCTTCTTTATACCCAATTTGTTGAGTTTTATCATGAAAGGATGTAGAATTTTTCAAATGCTTCTCCTGCATCTATTACATTGTGTTAACCTGGCATATCACATTTAGTGACTTGCCTGTGTTGAGCCATCTTCATGGGAAGCATTTTTGAATCTTTTACTTTTGTTATCAGCAAGTTTTTGAATGGAACACAGTTTCTATAGGATGTGAAATAAGCTGGGTAGAAAAATTAAGCTTAAAAATGTGAGTAATGATAGCTATACTGGATGTAATGTATAAAGAACATTTGTGTGTCCCAGAATCTTAATGGAGCACTATTGTGTAGTGTTTTATATAATGAGAGATTGGATTTTATAGTAAAATTTTTAAGAATCAGTGTTGGCTACTTAGGTAAAATTTCAGACAACCTTGCTTCTGGGAGAAATGTGTGATTTAGTCAAATGAATTGTATACCCTGCTCTCTCTCCAAGGAACACTAAATTAATTAAGAATGAGCACTAATTTGTTGGATTTCAAGGTACTGGGTTTTTATCCTGATTCTGCTTTCTGTTGTATGAAGTAAGGAAACCTTTTTTTAAGTTTATTTTTACATATTTTTGTGCATTTTTCCATCTCAGTTGCAATCCCCTTGGGTTAGGGGATCCTTTTTAGAAATGTGCAAAGTTCTCAACATCTGAAGAGAGCCTCTTGTCTCTTAAAGACAAATACAATATTTGTTCACTTTAGGTAATATGGTATTGGGAAGATATGAGAAAAACTGTATGAAATAGGAACCTCATATTTACCATCCATTTCATTTATTTTAGTAAGATATGGTATAATCTACTTCTCTTAGACTTAAAATTTTGTATGGCTGATGGTTAGTAAAAATTACCTAGGCTAGAATTTTTAATTTAAACGTAGTTCCTATACTGTGTTAAAATTAATTGGCAAGTATGCAGTATCTAAGAGAATGCAAGTTTAGTAAGGCATGAAATTAAAAATTAAAGTAAGGAGAAGTAGAGAATTTGGAGATGAATGGAGGGTATTTCTCTAGTCCTAGAGATCAAATGCCATAAAAACATAAATTCTAAAATATTTTTTTTATAGAGTAAAAATTGTTTGAGTCTGCTGATAACACTTTTGCTCAGTTTCTGTCTGGATATGTAAAATTTAATAGGCTTGAGTAGATAATTTGTATTAGGGTTTTGCCTAATTCTTTTATCTTTTTCTTCGATAAAATTTTATGGTCATAAATCTCTCAGTTAAATAGTTTCTTTATCTGTATGAAATTGATGACCATTAGCATATAAATGCAGGACGGCTAATTTAAGTTCTGAAAATCATACCGAAAACAAAAAAGTTCTGTACTATTACTTTCATTGGGATGACATCGCTTTTTCTGTTGTATAACTCTTTGTTGTTTACTGTGAGTATCTGATGAAAGGGCAAAAATACAGTTTATAACAGACTTATTTGATGTCTAAGAACCTGAGGGAGATGAAATAAAAAATGTGGTTGAGATTTTCAAATGACACATTAGGTTCCTTTATTAAAGTTATCCAAGATATTTGCAAGTTAGTTTATCACTATATATTAGCCAAATATTTTGTCTCATTTTTAAGAATAATTTGTATGCTCGTTGATAATTTTAATGATTGGTGTCTATGAATATTTAATGTTAAGCAAGTTTAGAATGTTGTCTAAAACCATTAAATACTTATGTAGTGTGGAGTTTGTATGATAATGCAGTTCAGTGCTAGACACTAGTTGTCAGTATATTTTTAACTGTTTTTGAAAAATCAGGGAAAAGTTTTTTGCATTTGAGTTCATCTTAATACTAATCATTTTGTTTTCAACTCTAGCATGTTTCCAAATTTTTCCTTTCATATTCATTAATATCAGAAACAGAATTCTCCAAGTTCTTCCTATTCTCTCTGCTCTTTTTAATTATGGATTACCAGGCGTTTGTTTCTTTACCCTTCTCCTGTAACTTTTACAAAGTCCCAGAAAGTTATCTTCTTGGCGCAGTGTAACTGTTAACTGTGTTAACCTACCAACTTTGGCATTACAGATATGGGTTTATTGCATACACTAGATCATTTAGAGTTGTAGAAGGACAATGAATCCAAATCAGTGGGTTCAAGAAACTTCATTGAAGTGCCTGGAGATAGGAGTGGACTTAATGGGAACTCACAAATAAGATTTTTACTAGTAACAATAAAGATGTGACAAGAGACAAGGAAAGTGTTTATCAAAACCTGGTGAGAACAAGGTGATTCCTGACAGGAGCTGTACTAGTAGAGGGTCATTTTGACTGTCAGAAAATCTGACCAAGAGGAAGGAGTAAATTGGGAAGCAGTTTCAGTCTTTCCCTGCCTTTGATCTTCTGCCTGTAATAGAGAATGCTGAAAACCAAAAGCTGAATCTATTGAAGTTAGCTTCCTTATGTATAAGCATAGGCCAGAAAAGTATTTGAGGGAAAGGATAGTGACAAGGTAATAACTGCTAACACTAACAGGATTGATAATACATACAGTATTGATTTAAGATAACATAGTATTTTGGATTCCACTTCTTAACTGTAAACTACTTACTTTACTATTTGATGTTGGCATTAGATAACATTTCAAAGTACTATCATAGAGCTTTTGTCTTGAGTCTATTTTTAAAATTTAATAAGGTGTATATTTCACTTTTTTTTTTGTGCTGTTTTTTAGGAACTTCAGTTGTTACCATGTTTTTTTTTTGGCAATTTTGTAACTTTATTCAATAATCAGTAGTCATCCAAATTGAGTGTGGCCTTTGAAAGTTGTGACAAGTACATAGGTCACTAATATATACATCTTTTTTGGTGACTTTTCATCCTCATTACATTTTCTGCACAGCCATACACAGATAACAGTATGGGACATTGCTTATTCCTGTGACCCACACAGCATTGTCAAGCCTGGTATCAGTAGCACCTATCCTTCATTGGAAATTTCCAGATCTCTGTTAGTGCTCACAAGGCAGTCTTACTGGATACCACTCCATAGATGTGCTTATGAATGTTGATAATGTAGTCCCTGGACCCTTTTTCTACAGGAACCATTCTGCTAGGCCATAATGTGAAAAGAAGTACCATCATCCTTTCAGATACACACTGGTTTTGTGTTTCTCAGTAATTTCTGAAAAGTGAATTTCTGGCTAATACATTCATTAATATATTCATTAAATCTAGTTTCCAAGATTTAGAGTTTTTTTTTTTACTTGTTGCCTAATAATAGGCACTGTCATTTCACTGTTGTTGCAGACAGGATTCTACTTACCTCTTGGCTTATGGATGAGGGTGCTTTTAAGATGTAAGATTATTTCCCTGGCAAAAGATTGATTAGACTTCATCCTATAGTTGTTACCACTGGTATGTCCTTGTTGCCTGCTTCTGTTTTCTAAGACAGCAGTCACACATATCAAAATTTTTTTTCTCCTAATCCTTACGGTATTTCTTTTTACAGAAGTACTTTCTGTAAAGTACTTTCATTCAGTCTTACCTTTGAGCATTTGTACAGTAGGCCAAAATCAAGACAATATATCTACTTTTTTCTTTAGGAAAATTATAGCCACCAGATATTTTACTGAAAAGCACTTTTTAAAAAATTCTCCCATGGTAGATGCAAATTGAAACCACAGTAAGAATGGTATATCTTAAAACAACTATCAGCAACAAATGTTGGCAGGGTGTGGAGAAAAAGGAATTCTCCTGCACTGCTGGTGGGAATGCAAACTAGTATAACCACTATGGAAAACTGGAAGTTTCTGAAACTGCTAAAAATGGACCCAGCAATCCCACTCCTAGGTATCGATCCAAAAGACACAAAAACACTGATTGAAAAAGACACCTGCACTCCCATGTTTACTGCTGCTTTATTTACAAAAGGAAAGACATGGAATCAACCCAAATGCCCAAAAGGGGATAACTGGATTAAAAAGATGTGGTACACATATACAATGGAATATTACTCAGCAGTTAAAAAAAAAGTTAAACACATGCCTTTTGCAGCAACATGGATGGAGCTAGAAGGGAACATGCTTAATGAAATGAGCCAGAAAGGAAAGGAAAAATAGCGAATGGTTTCACTCATAGCAGAAGTATAAAGGACCAGGCGAAAAAATAATAACAATAATGAACAACTGTATACCAGACATTTTAAGGGGGGGGAATGGGGAATGGGATCAAAAATGGGGTGGGGGGAGTGCATTGGACTGTGGTGATGGCACACAGGTGATTTGGTGATGGGAAGCCTATTGGGATTACAACTGAGATGGAAAAAGGTGCAAAATGATGTGAAAACAGACTCTTATGTTATTTTAAAAAAAAAATTAACCAAAATAAAATTCTCCCATGGAAACTACATTAGTGATTTTAAAATAAAGTAAATTCCCTTTTTATTTCATAGGCTTGATAGCAGTTTTTATAAATTTCAGACTAAACTTTTATGCATTACTGATTAAATCTTAATTATTTTCCACCAGACGGTCTGCCAAGTCCCGAAGCAGAAGCCCATATTCTAGACATTCAAGATCTCGTAGTAGACACAGATTGTCTAGATCCAGAAGTCGTCATTCTAGCATTTCTCCTAGCACACTAACTCTGAAGAGTAGCCTGGCAGCTGAATTGAACAAGAATAAAAAAGCACGAGCTGCTGAAGCAGCAAGAGCTGCAGAAGCAGCAAAGGCTGCAGAAGCAGCTAAGGCTGCTGAGGCTGCTGCCAAAGCTGCCAAAGCTTCAAACGCTTCTACACCTACCAAGGGGAACACAGAAACTGGTGCCAATGCATCACAAACAAACCATGTGAAGGATGTGAAGAAACTTAAAACTGAGCATGCACCCTCTCCTTTAAGTGCTGGAACTTTAAAAAATGACAAGACAAAAGCAAAGGCACCTCTTCAGGGAACAAAGGTGGACAATAATTTGATTGTAGATAAAGCCACCAAGAAAGCAGTTGTAGTTGCGAAGGAGAGTAAATCTGCTGCTACAAAGGAGGACTCAGTATCTCTCAAAGAGAAAACCAAACCACTTACACCAAGCATAGGAGCCAAGGAAAAGGAGCAACATGTGTCTTTAGTGACCTCTACATTACCACCATTACCTTTGCCTCCCATGCTGCCTGAAGATAAAGATACTGATAGGTAAGTACAAAAAAAACAGTACCTGTTTGAAAATCCTTATGTGTAAACGAACTTTCTTAGGTATTTCTTTAAATGGAACACGTGCCTATAAATGACAGAATTACAGTGTATCTACAATTCCAAGAAAAATTTATAGTTGCCTCGGGATACAAGTGTATTTCAGTTTTATTTTGGGAATTAATACTTTGGCTTAGCACATCTTGGTGATATTGGAGATAGGATATTTTTATGAGACTCTTCTCTCATGTGTCTTGGTTATTTCTTAGTGTTTTTTAGTGGCCTTATACATTTATCACTTTTGGCTGCTTAATGAATTTATCACTTAATAGTATAGTTGACATAATTTTTTTTTGCATTGGAGATAACTTACTATAGAAAACCTAGAATGTGAAAATGTTTTAACTTGTTTAAAATTTGTTATGTGAATATTGGGGGTGTGACTTGCCTTTACTGTGAAGTATTTTTAAGAGGATGAAGGTAAAAGTAAGTGCATGGAGTTCTAATGTTTTAAACATATGCTGGAATAGAAATATTATGCTATTGTGTGATAGCTGCCTTTCCCCACTTCCTATTAAAAAGCAACTAAAGATGTCCTAGCTGACATCTTTATTGGATTTGAGAACAACTTGATAAAAATGACATCTGGACAGGTCTTTTTAAGTACTCACTGTTATTAGCATTATGGAAAACTTTAATTTAGAACAAACACAAAATAAATCATAAAAGCTGTTAAAACCAGAAAGGTAGATTCCATTTCAATCACATGTTCTCCAGATATATATACTGGTCAAATTAGATATGTAGAAGTTTGTTTCTAAGAATACTGAAGGTTCACAACAGTAGTGATTTGTAGTTTGGTGAGTCCTAGAAATGCCTGCCTGAGTACAAAATTAAGTCACTTCATGGCTGAGAGTTGCCGAGAACCCAGTGATTCTGGACCAGTGATATGGGTTGTTTTTTAAATTTGTTTTCATGTATGTTTTACTGGTGGTATTTTCAAGATGTCTTGGCATAGTTGTGAATGTTTAAGAAAAATCTCTTTTAATTCAAGCTGGCACATTACAGACTTGATCATAAAGTTTGGGATGGGGCACCTCTGCCCACCTGTGACTAAGCAGGTGCCTCCTTTTTTTCTTTTCGTAATACAGCTGTCCTTTTAAAAAGTAAAAAACAAAACAAAGCTTGAACCTACTGTTTTTCTCTTCTACTTTTCTTGTGTCCCTGCTCTTCTTCTTTTTTTAACTATATATTTCATGAATTTATGTCTCTTAAGACATCGCATCACTACTTACGTGTATAGTCAAAGATGATTCAATACTATTTACAGTTAAAACTTTTTTTTTTAATATTCTAGTTGTCTAAAATTTGGCCACTGGAAATTCTTTTACGCTGACTTGTTTGTTCATTTCACACATTTTTCCTTGCTTCCTTCCAAATGTCTTTTTCTCCTGGACTTAAAATCCATTATTTGTCAAAATCAGCAGATAGACTGGTATCTGTGCTTTCATATAATAAATTGTTTTCCTTTTAAAATAAATTAGGATTATATCTTGCATAATGTTTCTTGACTTGTATTTATCATTTAGTGTGTTGGAGATCTTTCCATGTCATTCTGATAGGTTCAATATTCCTGACTCTAGGATTAGATGCATCATGCTCTTATTAACTATTCTGCTACTGATTATTGGATACTTGCCTTTCTATGCTTTTAAACTCTCCTTATGGACCTCCCTGGTAGCCTAGGGGTTAAATCTCAGGCTATCACCACTAAGGCCTGAGTTAGATCCCCAGCCAGGGAGCTAACCCACATATGGTGCTGCTCCCTTTGGCATTGTATTTCAGTAAATCTGCCTGTTCTGCTTCCTACTCTTGTCCATGGTGAATCCTCTCACTCCCACACCCTGGCACCTGTGGCCTACACCCAAGTTTCTCTATGCAAAAAAAAAAAAGCCACCTCTCCTTACATATTAATGCTTTATATACATTTAAACAGTTTTTGTAGGATAGTTGCTAGGTCAAGGTATGCACATTTAAAAATTTGATAGAAAATGCTGAGTTTTATCTCAGTGAAACTGTGTGCCAATTTATATATTCAAATATATGAAATTGCTTCAGTCATGCTGGAGATTGTCAATTTTGATGATCTTTATATAATATTTAATCTTACATTTTTCTGATTATTGAGATTTAGTATCTTTCTGAATATTTGTTGATCTAGTCTTTACAATGAGTTGTTCATATCTTATGCTGACTTTTGTTTAAGTGTGTTTTCTTTTTTCTAAATGGTTTATTAGGTATTCCTTATGATAGGAACCTTGACCTTTGCATCTCAGAGTCTGTTATTTGTCTTTGATATTTAATTGTTGTTGGGTTTTTTTTTTTTTAATGTAGGCAGATTATTGTTTTTATTTTAAAACTTCTAGGTCTGTAAAATTAAAAAAGGTTAACTCATCACACAGAAATTTATTTTTGGTTACTATATGAAGAAGAAAGATGTGACCTGATTATCTCCTTTCCCCCATCGTGCTGTGGACTAATAGATCCAGTTACTCTTAACTTTATTTATTGAGTTAATCTAAGTTGTAGTTCCATATATAGCATTTTAATAGATAACCTGTATTTCTGGACTCTTCTATAAATGCTTTATTTCTTTGCTAGCACCTTTTTGTTTTAATTTTTTTAAGATTTATTTATTTATGAATACAAGAACTGGGGCATAGGCCAGAGATATGGGGTGGGGGAATGGAGCAGTTGAAAAGATTCACAACAGGCAGATTTACCAAAATACACTGCTGAGAGGAGCAGCGTACAAGACAGGAGAGGTCTGCTGTTGTGTCATGTGGGTAGTTATGAAGATAGCTTCTTAGTGCTGATATTTAACCCCTTGTGCCACCAGGAAGGCACTATTTTAGACTTCTTTAGATGCATGGTATGTTTCAATTTCAAATTTCTGTAAGTGGGGTAGGGAGATAGTGTACAAGTGAAAGGGATAGAGTAAATGATTAGTAAATAGCCCTGGTTTTTGGCTTCAACTTCAGTGCTGCTGTACATGAGTTTGGTTGCATTATTGCTAGAGACTTTGTACTTTTTAAAAAAAATTTATTTATTTATGCATACAGAACTGGGGTACAAGCTAGAGGTGTGGGGTGGTGAGAGGCTTCACCAAAGACAGAGTGGAGAGCAGAACAGGCAGATCAACAAAGTACACTGCTGAGGGGAGTAGCGGGTGGGTCAGGAGAGGTCTGGCGTGTCATGTGGGTCACCTCTGGGGCCGGGGATTGAACTTACACTGAGGTGGCTGCGGCCAGCTTGCAGAGCTGTGTTCTAACCTGTTGCGCCACCAGGGAGGGCCTGAGACTTTTCACTTTTTTAAGAAGCCAACAAATTGAATCTTAATATCATGATTTAAAATATTGACAGTTAATTCATTTTTAAAATGTAACCCTGGGTAGACAATTATCTATATTTTTTGACTTTGACCAGTCTTAGTCTTAAAGTCTGTTATTTTAAAAAATAGATTGACCATATGGTAGGGCAAATCCCACGCCATTATCCTTTTTTTAGAAATTTCTTGGCAGTTTTTTTTTTTTTTTTTTTTTTTTTTTTTTGCTTTTACTCAGACATTTTTTACCAGTCAGCTAGTCAAATTGCATTAAAAACACTCTTGCTTAATGGGCTCTCCCTGGTGGCACGCCGGTTAAAGCACAGGACTCTGAGGCTGTCTGTAGCTACTGCAGCACAAGTTTGATCCCCGGCCAGGGAGGTGACTCACATGGCCAGGCAGAGCTCTCCTGACCCATCCGCTGCACCCTTCAGCAGTGTACTTCAGCCAGTCTGCCTTTTCTGTGCCCCACTTTTGTCTTTTGTGAATGTTCTTAACCCCCACACCTCTGGTCTATTTATTTATACAGTGTATAAATAAATAGATGAATAAATCTTTAAAAAAATACTCTTAAGTGTGGTACTCTTGCTGAATTTGATAGTCCATATAAAGATTATATTTGAATACAGCAGTCTTGAAAAATTTGAATTATAAGTAAAATTAAGACCTTTTACTCCCCCCCACTCCCCCAGAAAATATTGACTTGAATCCTCATACAAATGAGAAATTTTATTGAAGCCTATTTATAAGTTAAGAAATTACTGGTTTCTGGGCCTTCCTTGTTGACGCAATGGGTTAAGATGCAGCACTGCAAGCTGGCTGCAACCACTTCAGTGTGAGTTCAATCCCCGGCCTCAGAGGTGACCCACATGGTATGGGAGACTTCTCCTGACCCTCCTGTTGCTCCCCTCAGCAGTGTACTTTGTTGATCTGCCTCTGTGTCTCTGGTGAAGCCTGTCACTGCCCCTGCACCTCTGACCTATACACCCAGTTCTGTGTGAATAAATAAATAAATCTTAAAAAAAAAATTAGTAAATTACTTTAAAATGGCTTTTTCAAAATTCAAACACTTTTCTAGAAAGGCACTTTTAATGTTTAAAGTGTGATTTAGCTGTCTTTTAGGTACAACATTACATGGGATTCTATATAATATTTTATCTTACTGCTTATCTGAGTCTTCTAAAAGACTAAGTAAGCTTCTTTTTGAGAGGAACTGTATCTTACTGTATTTGTTACTGTCCTCTTCAAATTTCTAGTGCCTTATATATTATCTAGCACATAGAGGTGTAGGATCACTATTCTTTGAATGGAGGGGCATTAACATTGAAAAGTAAACTGATAGTAACTATCACTTTAAAAATAAGACTGCAAACCAGTTTTCTTTTGAGCATGTTTTCCCTGTTAAAGGACCCTCTATCTAATGAGTAACAAATAATAGAAGATGAAGGAAAGTCACTTTTATTATAATCACTAGTAGTTTTGTTAGGTGGCATTAAAAGATCCATTTGTTGTACTGTTAATGTTCACATGAATACAAGTGATAATTAAAATGGTTTATGCTGATTATATCTTTAGTAATTTCTGATAACAGAACATTTTCATTATGGCATCCATAACTGCTATGAAGAGGTATATTATCACCAGCAGATTTTCTTTCTCATGTCATATTATTAACTTAACAGATTTTGTAATGCATGGGAAGTTTAATCAGATAAAAAGTTAAGATATACTTTAAAAATCAGAATGCCTTTATGTTTTTATAAAAAAGTATGAAATTTAACTGATCTTAAGTTTTTACTTGTCACTTTACCCTGAAGTTTAAATGAATCATTGTTTGTAAGAAAACTTAACCCAGAGAAGGATGAAACTAGTTGTGGTTATTTAAATAACAAGATAAATAGTACTATGCGGTTTTACTTATTTCTTACAACAAAAGTTTTTGTCTCTCCACCACAATCAAACCAAATGCTATTACAAAATGAATGAATTTTTCTGTAAGCAAAGTTTGTTGCTTTTAATGTTTTTAATTTATTTTTTAAATTTTATGTTATTTCTTTTACTTTTTATTTTTTTTAAAAGATTTTTATTTATTTGTACATACAGAACTGGGGTACAGGCCAGAGGCTCAGGGGCGGTGAGAGGCTTCACCAGAGACAGAGTGGGGAGCAGAAGAGGCAGATCTACGAAGTACACTGCTGAGGGGAGCAGCGGGCGGGTCAGGAGAGGTCTGCCAAGTATGTGGTCACCTCCGGGGCAGGCGGGAATCGAACTCATGCGGAAGTGGCTTTGGCTTCTCAGTGCTGTGCTTTAATCCGCTGCGCCACCAGGGAGGGCCAATTTTATGTTATTTCTTAACATAAACCATTGTTTTAGAACCAATTGCAGATTTACAGAAAAATTTGTGATGCAACAGAAAATAACCACATATGGTAAAAGGTGTTAACTAGAATTCATAGTATATACAAATAGAAAATTCTTTTGTCGTATACCTGAAAGTAATATAATGTTCTATGCCAATGACGCCTCAGTTTAAGAGGTGGTAATATATTGAGTCAATGTGTATTGACATGAATGAATTGAGGCTTACAATGTACGATGGAGACAAGTAGGTGACTGTTTATCCTTTAATACTACTGGTGGGCAAGCATGATCTTAGGTGATTCTGTCACTGCCAGTTGACACTGAATAATCAGATTTGCAAATAATGCCATTTCAAATTTTTTTTGTCCTAGGTTAATAGAGATGCTCTGATATTTTACTCTTGGCATAATTTACTCTGAACTTTCTCTGTAGGAAATAATTTTCTCTTGTGTAGTGTCATTTAACAAATGAGTGATCTTGAAAATTAAATTGATCTTTGAATTTTTTTTTTTTAATGATTTATTTATTTGTGCATACAGAACTGGGGTACAGGCCAGAGGCTCAGGGGCGGTGAGAGGCTTCACCAGAGACAGAGTGGGGAGCAGAAC